GTACTTCTTGTGAATTTTCATAGTCTTCTTCTCAAATCTCTACTTCTACAAGCTTCTTTTCTTTTCTAATAATATGACCAAATTCACTCTCTTTGTTTTCTTTACCTTTTACGAGTACCCACTCTTTTTTCTTTTTGTCTTGTGAAATCTTCGACTTAACTTCTCATACTTGAAATCTTTTTTTTTTCCTGTATTCTTCAACCACTTCTCTTAACTTCTCATCCACTAGTAATTCTTTTTCTAATAACTTAAACCATTAAGCCTTTCTTCCTATATGTCTTCTTCCTTTTCTTGCTTTTAGCTATCTCCAAGTAACTATTCTCTCTTGTTTCTTGTCTAAAAGCTAGTTTACATGCCATAGGTTTAGCTTACTTATACCTTCTTATGTCTCTTTTAATTTGCACTTGTCAAGTATATTACTGATCAGATAGTTTTTGTCTCTTTGTATGTTTAAAAAGTCCCAAGCTATAGTAAACTCATTTTTTGTAACACTAAGGCCAAGTCGTTTTGCGTGCTGCATTATTTTGGCTTCTAGGTTTCTGTGCTTAGTCTTTTTCCAATTCATGTTTTCTGCAATGAGAATACACTCTGACATATTTATGTCTAGTTGAGACTGCTTTAATCTTATTAGAGTAGTTATACCTACGATACTATTAGAATTCATTCTTACAAAAAGTTTGAATACGTGATACTCTATATGTTTTTGCTATAGGCTTACTACTCCAAATATTACTTTGTGCTAAAGAGTTGCATTTGCACATGTAGATGATAGCTCTATTTTTCACTTTATAAGTCTTAGCATAGGCTGATGTATCATATCACAGGATTTTTTCTTAAGGCAGACATTTGCTAGTATATACTCGAGTTTTGGAAGTAGTACCATATTGTTTATATATGTTGTGCCTCAGATCGATGATTGCCTCAGGTGATAACTGAGGTGCCTCAGATGTCGATCATCATATGAGGTACGTAACCTGTCAATCAGTCACCTAAGGTGCCTCGGTTATTACCTGAGGCAATATTCGTGTAACTAAAAAAATCAGATGTTATAATGCTAAAATAAGTACGAGAAACTGCATAATTTATATACTTATCAGGAACATAATTATAGTAACTTCCATATTAGTAATTAAATATGTAATAATTACGACATATAATTAATAAGAGTGTAGTAATAATAAAATTTAATAAAAGAAAATTGTATAAACGAATCAATTTTTTTAACTTTTTCTCCAAGATAACAAAAGCAATAAATAGTAAAAAAAAATACAAATAAATACCTTTACTGTATTGGTGTGCTATATATCTTTGGATAGAACTATTTCCTGCGGCAAAACTCGAAAACTTTTAAATCGGTGTGACCATATTTTTTAAAAGTTCATTAATAGAGTATAATTTTATTAGCAGGAGTACTCTTGACCAGATTTTTGAGAATTATATAGTTAGTCTTCCGAAACCAAAGCGTGAAAAGGCTTTAATCAACTATGAACTATTGAATAAAATAAAGCATATTTTAATGGACCCACAAAATACTTCTCTTTACAACAAAAATATATGTGTATGGGCTAAAAAGCACTTCCGACTTGAAGAAATTGTTCCTGGTGATTATCGCGTTATTGTAAAAGCCACTAATAACCCAGTTCTTATTACTGAAAATATGTACGAAATACTTTGCCAAGTTCATAGCCAAATAACACAACACGAAGGGCACAAGCAGACATGGAAAACAATAAGAGAAAGGTGGGGATAGATTAAACAAGATATTATAGAACAATTCGTAAATAATTGCACTATTTGTGCAGTTAGGAAGCCAACTTTTCACCCTCTAGCTGCTAAACTGATTATTGCGAAAAAGTTTTTGTCACGTGTCCAAGTATTATACATTTATTCTTTTTTTTTTTTATTGTGCAATTGTTTAAATTAAAAAAAATTTTTTTTTTATTGTACAATCGTTCTGTTTTTATTTTCTCTTTTTAAATATTTTTTATTTTTTTATTTTTTTTTTAGATCAATTTAATTGACATGACCTTTGACCCAGATGGCGAATTCAAATATATATGTCACGTTCGTGACTATTTCACTTGGTTCTCTTGAGTGAAAGCCCTTATCTCCAAACGAGCGATTGAAGTTGTGGCCTACCTGTTTGACCTTTTTAATTTAATAGGATCATCTCCTCTAATACTTCAGTCGGATAACGGAAAGGAGTTTTGTGCAGATGTGATTAGAGAGTTAGTCGAATTGTGGCCTTCAACAAAGATTATTAATGGGCATCCAAGACACCCTCAGTCTCAGGGTCTCGTAGACATGCCAACGGGATATTAGAACAGAAGTTGGGCAAGTGGAAAGAGGAAACTGGTCATAGCGATTGGTCGTTCAGCTTACGATTTGTTATTACGGCTATGAATACTTCATGGTACCGATCACATAAGAAAACCTCTTATGAACTTGTCTATAGTGATAAGCCGTGTAGTAATTGCACGTTAGTTAATGATCTATTTGAAAGGAACATTCTTAATGAAGAAGAAATTCCTGATTCTATTGATATTCAAAGTATTTCTGTTATAAACTTTGATAATGATATAAGTGGTAAGTATTATATATTTAATAACTTCCTAATTCTTGAATTATTTATTTATTAATTTTTTTATACTGTCCAGAATCTCTATTTCAAGAATTGAATGACGCAAGTGGGTATATATATTTTTTAATGATAATTTATTTATTTAATTTTATTAACATATATCATATATTCTTAGGCGAAGACTCAGGACTTTCGTATCAGCATGGCAAGAGCACTTTAAGTTGTTATTTGTTATATTTTTACTATTTTATTAACTTAATCTTATTATTTTTAGAAAGAAACCCAGGATTAAATAATGAAAATTACAATTTAGGTAAGTTAATACAATATTGAATATGCTTTATTTATATTTTTATTGTTATTAACTCATACTTTAAATTTGTAGATAAAAGCCAAGAACTTTTATACCATCAACAGGATATTAGAGATAGTACTTCAGGTAGGTTAATGTGTTAATGATTATTATTACTTTTATTATCGTTAGCTTATATTTTAAATTCTAGATAAAAGCCCAAAATTTCCACACCGTCAGCAACTAGACAGTAGTGATAATATTTTTACTATTTATTATAATTATCAGTTATTGTTAATTTGTAATATATGGTAAAATTTATACATACATATATAGGCAGAAGTTTAGGACTATTACACTATCAACTAGATCGTGATAATAATGTTTTAGGTACATAAGTTAATATACAATTTATTCTTCTACGATATTATTCTTATTAACTTACACTATTAATTTGTAGGTAAAAAGCCTTTAAACTAGCATCTGATAACAAACAGTAGCGGAAGTTTAATATGATCTTATTATGTCTTAAACTCTAGATGAAAACAACTTATCTCCATATAGCATGCTTAAAAATCCTATGATTGGAAATTCTTTTTATGCATGATCAAATGACCGATTAGTAAAAATTAACGCTGATTGGTTAATTTATTACATTTTACTTAAGAACGTTAACACTTTCTCAAAGCTTCTAGAATTTTTTTTGTCAACAATAATTATTTGATATTTTGTATGCGTATTCAGTAAGGCATTAGATGCCAAGATCCCAAAATTTCATTTTAAGATCCCAAAATTTCACTAGTAACAATGCAACAAGGTAGACCGCGCAAAAATATAGGACCATGTGCAATATGTAGCAAGAATGACTCCAAAGAAAAGTTTCGTAAATTAATGCCAGATCTTTTGCATAAAGCTATGCAAAGTCCAGCGGCACTGAATTTAAATGTGGAACCTGGTTTATATGACCAGCTGTGTCATAAGCATTATGTTGATCTGGTAATGTTTGATAGGAACTTGAAACCTAATAAAAGATGAAAATATTGTTCAAAATTAATGAATAATAATGAACAATATAATCTTGGAAAGTGTTACCAAAATGGCATAGGCGTACCTAAGGATGACAAGAAGGCATTCGAATGGTATCTAAAATCTGCTAAAGGTGGCAATTCCGATAGGCAATGTAGTGTTGGAAATTGCTATATAAACGATATAGGAATACCTAAAGATGAAGATAAAGCATTCGAATGGTACTTAAAATCTGCAGAAGGTGGAAACTCAACAGGACAACTACATATTGGAGATTGCTACTGAAAGGGAATAGGTGTAACTAAAGATGAGAAGAAGGCATTCGAGTGGTATTTGAAATCAGCTGAAGGCGAAAATTCCAATGGACAATTGTGTATAGGTAGTTGCTATCAAAAAGGTATAGGCACTCTTCAAGATGATAAGAAAGCATTTGAATGGTTTTTGAGATCTGCTGAAGGTGGAAATCCTGGTGGACAATTAAATGTTGGATTTTGTTATGACGAGGGTATCGGCATTTTAAAAGATGAAAAGAAAGCGTTAGAATGGTATTTAAAATCCTCTAAAGGCAGTGATCCATGTGAGCAATTAGAGAGTATAAACCTTCCAAATGAAATTTATAACCATCTATTGGAAAAAATTTCAAGCATGGAAAGCTCTCAACAAGACAATTCAGGTATATCAAGAATTTTTTTTTTTTTTTTTTTTTTTTTGATATACTAATTAAGATTTATATTTATTGTAGATATTAAACAATTTGCACAGTATTTTAATGATCAAGTAGAACGTATGACGAAAATTCTTTATCAGGATCAACGTGAAGGGAACGAACTAAAGTTAAAGGCTGAACACTTCATTGAATTAATTGAAAGTAAAGACCCACAACTTAAAGGATTTTTTAATCTTTTATACAACGCTATGAATCCACAAAAAAAAAATATAAAAACT